GCTCCAACCCTAATCAAACACACCTGAACAAGCTAATCAAGGTCTTACTAGGTATACTTGAAACATCCAGGCAGGTGTGTTGAGGCAAGATAGAGCTAAACCCTGCAGGGACACCGGCCCTCCAGGACCAGGATTGGTGACCACTGCCATACACACTCATTCACACACATACATACATGGACAATTGAGCCTACCCAGTGCTCAGTGGTTAGCACTGTCACCTCACAGCAAGAATGTCGCTGGTTCGAGTCCCGGCTGTACCAGTTGGCATTTCCATGTGGAGTTTCCATGTTTTCCCCGTGTTGGTGTGGGTTTCCTCCGGGTGCTCCAGTTTCCCCCACAGTCCAGACATACGGTATACTGTAGATGAATTGGATGAAATTGACCGTAGTGTATGAGTGTGTGTGTGAATGAGTGTATTTGGGTGTTTCCCAGTAGTGAGTTGCAGCTGAAAAGGCATCCGCTGCATAAAACATATGCAGGAATAGTTGGCGGCTCATTCCGCTGTGGCAACCTCTGAAATAGAGACTAAGCTGAAGGAAAGTGAATGAATGAATGAATTTATAGTATACTATAATGCTTTTGAACTATAATTTAGCAAAGTACTTCAATGAATCAGTTATGGTAATATCAGATACAACAACTGCAGTAATATAACCAAAAATATGTTACAATACGGCAGTTTTTTTAACTACAGGGTATATTATATTATAATACACCAGTGGTGTATTACACCAGTGGGGTCGGTACCCCCAGGGGGGTTGCAGGACAATGACAAGGGGTCGCTTGGTGATTTCCAAAGCTCAAATAATTTTGATTAAAAAAAGAAATGACCATATTTTATTCATAACCCACAGAAGATAGTTAAAAGTTACATTAAAGAAACAACAACATACAAATAAAAATGTATCAGCCTTACTTTTTTTTTTCCATAGGATTGCGACCCCTGGGGTGTTGACCTGCAGCAGATTGATTTCATAGGGCCAAGTTAAACTCTCTGACGACTTTTTTGACACTCTAATACATTAAAAATAAGATCTTTGAGGTTAATATTAAATTTAATTAATAAATGACTATAAAAACATATGATTATTAGTCTGTTGCATTTTTGTGTTGTCAGTATGCTTATGTTTATCTAGGCCTATAGTTGTATGTGCAGTGTTTGTATATTTATAATCTCCTTCGAGAAAAATGGGGGGTTGCGAGTCACAGACATTGTTATTTTGGGGGTTGCGGGCTGAAAAGTTTGCGAATACAACACAGTTTGCTGTAGTAAAAACTTATCTTATTACAGTACAGTATGTATTAAAGTTAATCAGTTCACTAATAACACTATAGTATGCTTTAGCATTCATTAACAGTTGTAAATATTATAATATATACAGTATAATACACTTTACTATTATATTCATCTTTATTTCTATAGCGCTTTTAAAATGTAGATTGTGTCAAAGCAGCGAAGCATAGAAGTTCTAGTAAATGTAAACTGTGTCAGTCCAGCTTTCAGAGTTGAAGTTCAGTGTGGTTTCATTTTCACGGCTGAAAGTCCAAACACTGAAGAGCAAATCAATCAATGCACAGCTCCACAAGTCACAAACCAAGCAAGTCAGTGGTGACACATGCTTTAGTATATTCGTTATGCTTATCGCCACCTAGCTTTAGTTTTAATTTAATAATTATTTATCCATGATTGACGTAACCAGTGAAGGTACCTGTACACACATTCCTGAATTTCTCCATGTTTTTCAGACAGTTGACATACGGTATGTATTTTTATCTTAAAGCACCCTGTATACTGCGTCAATGTGGTCGGCACCCAGAACGCCAACAACCTGATCACTGTGTCTACAGACGGCCGGATGTGCTCCTGGAGTCTGGATATGCTCTCACAGCCTCAGGTCAGGGCTGATGCTATATAACCATATAAATATACAACTATATAAAAGTCCTCTTGCTCAGTTGATGTGTGTCTGTTGTAGGAGAGCATGGAGCTCGTTTATAACAAGTCTAAACCAGTTGCGGTGACTGGAATGGCCTTTCCTACTGGAGACGTTAATAATTATATTGTTGGCAGTGAGGAGGGGACTGTGTATACAGCTTCCAGACACGGCAGGTGAGTGTTTTAGTCTGTGTTACATTCATATTTCAGTCAAATATTATATTCACATTTCAAGTCTATATGGTTGCATTTACTCTTACTCAGATTAAGGCTACACTAACAGAGCAGTCACACTTGAGTTCATTTTAATCAAGTCATAAATCTCAAGTGTGAAACTTCGGTAACACTTTACAATAGGGTTTATTAGTTAATGCATTTACTAACATGAACTAATTATGAACAACACTTGTACTGAAATTATTAATCATAATTGAACATTTACTAATGCATTATTGACATCCAAGTCCATGCTTGTTAACATTAGTTAATGCACCATGAATTAACATGAACTAACAATGAACTACTGTATTTTCGTTAACTAACGTTAACTAGCATGAACAAATACAGTAGTAAATGTATTGTTCATTGTTTGTTCATGTTAGTAAATGCATTAATTAACATTAACTAATAAGCATTATTGTAAAGTGTGACCGAAACTTCTTTACTGAACGTTATTGTGAATACAGACTTACAGAATCCTAGTGAATCAGTATGTAATATCATTGCACCTGCTGCAGCCATGGCACAGCAACAAAGTCCCTTGATTATCACGCAAGAGTAAGAGCTTAGTTCATGGTCATATCGACCTAGAAAATAGCTACTTTGAATTTTTCATTCATTCATTCATTTTCTTGTCGGCTTAGTCCCTTTATTAATCCGGGGTCGCCACAGCGGAATGAACCGCCAACTTATCCAGCAAGTTTTTACGCAGCGGATGCCCTTCCAGCCACAACCCATCTCTGGAAAACTGCTTTTAATTTTGTTTCAGAAATTTTCTTCTTTTTTTTTTTTTTATTTTCGAGTGAGATGCTTATGGTCTAATCCGATTTCATGACTAATGCTAAACTAAGCTAAATCTGCTCTCATCAGACCCAGGGATTGTCTGAATAGATAAAAAAATGGTCAAACTGTTGAACCGTGACTTGTAAATCGAGTCTATTTCCAAAAAAAGTGGTTTGTTCCTTTATAAATTGCCTTGTTTTGACCATGCCCTAGTAATTTTATACAACCAGGGGCGCCGCTATCAGTTTTGGGCCCTATGAAAGAATATTTGAGGTTGGCAGTAGCTGGTCCAGCTTCAATGACACCTCAGGCAAACAACCCATCACTGCACCCTAGGTGCCTGAAGGTGGTGCAGTGGAGGGGAGGTGGGGATTTGTAGGAAGAGGTTGTGCCTTAATTTGCTATTATGTATTAACATATTGTATTTTACACTTTTATAATAGCCATTATTGATTATTAAAACTGATATTCAGCAAAAGAGACAAAGTATGTTTCGTATTTTTCGAAAAAAATCAAAGGAGGTAGTTATGTTAGACAGGGATCGGGAACCTTTTTTCAGCCAACAGCCATTTCTGATTTTTTTGGCTAACGCATTTTTTAAAAAAGCCATTGGGGAGTGTTTTTGTACATGCTGAGCAGGTTGTCAAATGCTGTTGAAATTACGAGCGCAAGGTCACCATAGCAATGTGTTTGCCCTTTATTGGTGTCGCAATTCAAGATAATCCTCAGCACCACACATGCGCTTTAGTCGAAATGTCCTTTTATTGTAAATTTTATTGAGTTCTTATTCATTTTGCTGTAAAAATAAATAAATATATAAATAAATAAAATAAAATACAATATAAAGCTAGTTGTTATTGTATTTTCAACAGGAAACTGATTTCTAGTGACAGTTAAAATTCAGAAAAATAAATTGTTTAAATTATTAAAAATGATTACAGCATTTAAGGGAGCCATATGTTTCCCACCACTGTGTTAGAGGCTCCGTTTTGTTATAAATATGCATACAGTGAAGATGACGCTAATATAAATATGCAGCTACACAATGCCTCAACATTTTTAGTGTCTGTTAAGTTAATATCAAAATGAAAAATTGGCAGTTCCTTAAATCATGTTTTTATTTTATTGTTGGGAAAGTAAAACAACATAGCCAGGGTGATGTGAATGAGGTTATAAAGTAGCCTACACTGACCCTTTGAAGATTTACCCGACGTGTCCTCGGGAGTTTGTTTTCCATATCAAACTTAAGGAAAATGGTGCAAGTCTGAAATTTGTGCTCTGTGTCAGT